ATAGAGATGAAAACTGGCTGTTAAAAAACCAGCCAGCGGCCAGAGCAGAAACAGGGGTCATTGTAAGAAGGTAGAGTTCCCACCTGGCTTTGGCACACCAAGCACGTTCAGCCTGGATATTTGTCAGTGCTCTTTTCCTTCCGGCAGTTTTCATTTATTGGCTGCGAGTTAGGGCTTCCCCTTGCAGGACCTCTCTGGGTTCCTGCCTCCGGTTCCCTCCTGCTTTAGACTGACTGTCAACCTTGCATTTCCCTGGCTCGGAGGTAGTGCAGTCCACTGGATCAGGAGAGAGCCCAGCAAAACAGCTCGGCTGCGGTGCGCAGGGTCCTAGAACCTGGCCACCCGTGACGTGTGCCGCACCGGCAGAAAAACGTCCTTGGCACATGCATGCCGAGGTTCATGCCCTGGCTGTGTGAGCTCCAGTCTGCAAGCAGGGTGCGGATTCAGGGTATCCTGAATTTGTTTGATGACCCCGGCTGGCTCGTCCAGAGGTGGCTGTGTTTCAAAGGGCACTGTTTCTTGTGTCGGCTTTGTTTGTTCCCAACACTGAAGTCAGTGGGGTTGTGCACGGTTGGTCCCTCGTTTTTAACATCCTGTAGGAAAAAGGTGATACCGAAATGGGGATGGGATGGTTTCCAGTGTCTGTTGCCTGGGAATAGAAGGTAAAACAGGTCTTGCTTTCTAACAGCCCAGTATCTTCCCTTGAAATGTTCATATGCTCAGATTCTTGTAGACTACACGTTATTGCACTACTCCTCTGACTTTTAACAAGACTCTTTTGTACTTTCCCATGGAACTGCATAACTCACAACAAAGTTAGTCAGAGCCATGCCTTCGGTGCAGGCTCTGGGTGCCCATTAACCAAGGTTGCACTTAGGTCTGAAAGAAGGATTTAGCCCATAGCCTTGCTTCAGGTGTCCAGTAAGAAGGGCTTTTTAGAAGATTCCCTCCGTAATTCAAGGTTCATCATCTCCAACAAGAATTTAAAGTAAAAGCGTATATTTCAGCTTCACAAGTTTAGGTTCTCCTGCTCCCCCTTTTATTTTGATTTTATTTTAAATCTCAGGGCAAGCTTTTGACTTAAGTCTGTAGGCAGTTTTACCTGGGTGAACACTGAGTGAGGATGGCGGGACTTGGCTTGTTGTCACAAGTGAAGCGGGGATAGAGGTTTATAATTGAAAATAACGTGTAAAAAGCTTGTTTTGAATTTCTCAATGGAATGTAAGGGACTCGGAGGGGGGTTCTGCATCCCCTCAGATACGGTACTTAATATTTATGCTTTCATTGCACCTTGACAAACATTTCACGTAGTTATTGCTTTGCTTGAATATGGAAATATGTTAATTACGGCCTTTATTCCACTGCCTGCTCTTTTCCTCAGCCTTTTCTATTCAACCCTCTAGGTGGCCCAGCACAATGTGGCTTCTTTTCTTTCAATGAGCTCTTTCCACACTAATAGGGTCCAGGGTGATGTGGAGAACCATGTGCACAAAATTGGTGCACCACCCCCCATCCCTTTGTGGGCATGTCAGGTTAAATTCATATCAGCAGGAGGGTCACTGCCATGATTTTCAATAGCGCGAGATGAGGTGATGACTTCAGACAATGGTGCCACACTCTCCAGTTGGAGACACTTGCCTCACCAGTTGCAGTAGTTAATTAATATGCTAAAAATAGAAGCCAGTGATACAAATCGCTGCCTGTTGTACAACAAAGACTGGGCATGTGTAGCTTTGATAGCCAAGTTTATGGTGCTTGTTATGGAGGGAAGTTAGTTTAGAGCTAGAGGCAATGTAAGACTTTCTGGATGCTGAGCTTTAGTCACTCTGGGCCTCTGGCCATTCGCTCGCTGTCTCATTTGCATTATGAATGACATTAAGGGAACTAACAAGGTTATTGGGCATAGAAATGTTCTCATGTGACCCCACGTGGAAGCAGACCTACAGCAGTGCTAGTTGGCAGGGGCACTGTGGCTCTTTATTCAGCTTCCTAGGAAGACTGTTTCTGGGAGTAGATATAAAATCAACCACGAGAAAACCGGTGTTCAGATAATGTGAAGGTCCTGATGCAAGCCCCTAGGAAGCAAGGAAGTTCAGAGGGCAGGCTGGAGCTGGGTGCTTCACGCTGTGCCTGGCCGGAGCTGAGCATGGAGTGCAAGACATGGGAGCTCCCTGTTGCTTGGGTCTCGCCACCAGCCGCTCGGGGCTGGGTGAAGCTGCTCTGTGGGGGCTCAGTGACCACGCGTGAGGGTATGCGTCCATCCGGGCCTCCGAGTGCATCCATTTTTCCCTGCTGCTGGCTCAAAAGATGGGTGGGAGGGGGTGGGTTTTTGTTCTCACCCACTGCATCATAGCTTCCATAGGGACTGTCCAAATGCCAGTAGAGTTTGAGAGGTTTCACATCATCTTTTTACTACACCTTCCCCAAAACTTGAGACAAGGAGGGGTAAATTACGGAAAGTCCATTGCCACCTGTAGTTCCCATGCATAACTAGGAGACAGTTTGGTAAGTCCAAAGATTTAAATGCGGGAGTCACATCCTAACTTAGGGCCACGTTGGCCAAGTGCAGCCCAATTCACACCAGTGCAGGCACACGGGATTCACAAACCCAGGCAAATGCAGCGTGTATAAGAGGAGAAACAGACTCGTGGAGATGTAGCCTTTAATTTACCCATTTTCTAAAGAAATTAGTGGGATTGCTGATGAATCGCTCTATGTAGATGACAGCACATTTGGGGAATGCTAGGTCTCTTCCATAAATGTTTGAACATTCTTAAATTTTATAGACATTTGTTCTTTGCTCTGTGGACCAGGAGGAGACTCTGGACAGTCACGCAAGCACATTAACATTTGCGACCTTTATAAAAAACTCTTGTTACTGGAGTCCTTTAACCATTCCTGCTTTTCATGTTGGACTTTGTAAACTCGTGGCCCAGCGATCACACTTCTTCCATGGAGCCACTAGCTACCAGGTCAACCCACAGGAATGAGCTACTGCAGCAGTCACCCAGAGCTGAGTCCTAGGGCCCTGTCAGTAGTAACAAGTAAGAAGAGAGGCAAAACGGTGTAAAACGAGGGCCATTTCGAGGGCTTAAAATCTCACTGTATTTATGACCTGCTCTCGAGGTCTGGCCCGATGATAAGCGCAACCACAGGCTGAGGCACTGGGGATAGGGTGGGCTCTGTGGGCAGGGTGTGTGCTGTGTGTAGGTACCTGTATTTATTTTCCCTGCTCATCTATTTACAGGCTGGATGGGGCTAGCCCTTGCATGCGTGTGTATAAATCCATGTGAGGTAAATGAAAGCGATTTTGATTATGAAGGTGCAACTCTTGTTACCTCGACATTGTGTTGAGATCAGCATCCTCAGGGCTGCCCTCATAAGTAGGAGTCGAGGCTCTCCTGTTGACTCACTCATTAGTGGGGGCAATATAACTTAATTTCCAAGATCATTGGCTTTCCTATGTACAGTGGGTTCTTACTATTATAACAGTGCATAATTATTATTTTTATAGTAATGGCAGTCCATATTCATTGCTTCAGTTGGTGGGAATTTGCTCCTTTGGAAGTGGTTTCTCAGAGTGTGATGTCTGCTGAGCAACCCTGGTAGGAAGGACAGTGGGCTTCAGCAGCATGCAATGGTGGGCTTGCAGGTGGTCACCTCCTGGTGCCTTTGTGAAACAGATAAATCCATGACAGGGTTTCAGCTCTTCCTTGTCTCTCCCCACTCCTAACATTCTCCCTCCAGTCCGTCTGGATGAACATTATGACCTGACTCCCATTCTTACATGACTGCTTTATTCCTCGTGGGTCCCAGGGACATATTCCAGCCTGAAGAACATGCTGTCTCCACAGCTATTGCAGTATCTGCCAGCTCAGAGTCTGGGAGGCTGAGAACAACTCTCCATGTGTCTAAAACCTGAGCGGTTACGCAGACATCAACAGAGTTACAGAATTTGTGCTAGCTGAACAGAGAGGACTTGGGATCTGCCCTTAACAGAAGGGCGGTTTTCTGTAACAATCTGTTTCTGTAAATAGACTGAATATATTGATTGTGGTTTATTTCATATTAAGTATTACTCGTGTTTCCTCTTCCTTCTTCTCCAGTCCTCCCAACTGAAAACTGGTAGAAAAGGGTTTGTTAATGGGTTATTGTTGAACCAAAGAACTTGCAAACCAAGTTTCATTTTAGGAAGATATCAGTAACCTAGAAGATCTCCTGGAAATGGTATTTAGTAAGACATGCCAATATACCAGTGCCTATGGCAGTGTCATAAACCATAAAATCATCTTATAAAGGTCATAAGAACATTTAGTTTTATTTTCATTTCTCTCCCGATCACCACAGATGTGTGAGAAGAAGTTTGAAATGTATTTTCAACTCGTTTATTAAGAAATAGTAGTAATGGCAACTGTGATCTTTGTTTTTTCTTTGATTATGTAGCTATGGGCTATAAGTGTTCTCACTTCCTAATTGCAAAGGTGGTAAAGATGAACCATTAATTAAAATCTCTTTCCCGGACAGGTCTTTTAAGTGCTCGAGTTAATTAGGTCTTTTAAAATTGACATGACTACAAATCCCAGTTTGGTCCTTTGTGATACCTTATTCCAGTTAGTTTTCTGGTTGTACAGAGAGCTCTAATGTGACCAAGACCCAGATTTCTGACATAAACTACAGAAAGCCTCCTTCTTCTCTTTCCTTTTCTTTAAAACTAAGGAAAGACTATTAAAAATTGTCCAGGTTTACTTTATGCTTCAGTGAGAATAAAAGACCGAACCACATTTCCATTTTAATTTGCAGATCTGTTACCCCTCCTTTGACTGCTTGTGATGAGCAGTGTGACTAATGAGCTCCGCCAGACCAAAAAGAGTGGCACTTTTCCCTTTCTTCTACTTCCCCATTTTTTATTCTTGGGTGTGGTTTTTTTATGTTGCTTGCCTCTGATGTTTTGCAGCTTTTCTGGTCTGGGCTTGGACTAATTCCCAGATCTGTTCTTGCAGATTTTAACTTTGCCATGTACCCACCATCAATGATAGCAACTGGAAGTGTGGGAGCAGCCATCTGTGGCCTTCAGCTCGATGATGGGGATAGCCTCACGGACCTCCTGGCCAAGATTACAAACACAGATGTGGTGAGTGTCCTGCATTCCTCTTCTCCTTTCACTTCTGAGGGCGTGGTGGAGAACCGGGCCATCAAACCTGGCCTGATCTGAAAGCCCAAGCAGAGTGAAGGAAGGGGGTGCTCCCAGAGTGAATGGGTTGCAGGCGTGTGCCCAACACCTTGGTTGCGGTGCTTTGAATGTCCAAAGCTCCTTGGCCTCCTGGGATCAGTTTTCATTCATGCTTTGTTCAGCAGCTTGGTGGGGAGAGCCTGCTCTGCCCACCCTGGCTGATGGTCAGGCGTGCTATGGTGGGGAGCCGCCTTGGGTATCACCCTGGGCGATGGGGCGAGCAGGCAGACAGCATCCCCAGGGGCATAAGGTAAACCACTGTGTGCGCCGGTCCTCTATTCGCAACCTTGAAACTGCTCTTCTGGTTTGAAGGAAGTGAATAATGAGCTAATCCTCTGGTGCTGGCACAGTGTGAGGCAGGTGTAACCCAGGCTGTCTGGATTTTTGTCTGTAACTTCACTAAGCTTACCCCATGAAGGTCATTTCTTGGCTTGTCAGAAAGTCCTGTCATCAGTAGGAGAGGTGAATCTGATGGCATTTCAGTGGTGCTCAAACTCACTCAAAAGTGAGTTTTCTGGTCTGGGGTCAGCTTCTAGAGGAGACATCAGAAAAACCCAAACCTGACAGCTCTGCGTGGCAGTCTCAGCAGAAAGCTGGGAGGAATGAAAGGAGCACTCGGGGTGCCTTCCCCCGTGGGGTGGTCCCTCTCCCGCTGTGCCCGTGTGTCGGTGGGACACTGCGGGGAGACCTTATGCTCCTGCAAATCCAAACTGCTTTGTCTGTGGATAAACAGGGGTTCCATCTCTTGCGAAGCTGACGTGTTTTGCTGTGATGAAGTTCACTCAAAAGGAAAGAAAATGAGCGAGGCTTTCTGAAATGCAGGCCACTAATCAGAGAATGCTTTTTTTACCATAGAAATATCAGTTTCCAATGCGTCATCCTTAACATGGGCTAACTGTAAAACTTTTTATTGCTTTTACTTTGCAGAGTAAATACACTGTGCAATTATTAGATCTATGGTAACATTGTCAAGAGAATGTTTGGTTTTTGTCCAGCGAATATTCTGCGTTTTGGTTAAAAAGGAATAGTCCAGTTTAACAAAAAGGGAAGAATGTTTTGCTATTTCTTTTTTCTTTCAATCAGATTTATCCTAATTTTCCAGTGCAGTTCTGGGGCTTCCCATTTCTTTTGATTGGAACTGGGCTTTGCGCAGAAAAAGGAACATTTCCAGTTTTGAATGCTTATAATGTAAATCAAGTAGCTGCAAAAATTTGACATAGATTTATTTCAGTGGAAATGAAAATTTTATACAGGTAGTTCCTCTTTTATGTCTGTTTTATAAGTGTGGAGAAACAGAGTGGTGATACATTACAGTAAGCAGCAGAAGCGTGCAAGAAGAAGAATCCGATACAACAATTCGGACTGCATGGCCTGGACCAAGTATTGCACAAAGCTTATATGTACAGTTGTTAGATTTAGACTGGGTAAATCCATTAAGTTTACTTCATTTATGTGGCTAACAAGAATTATCTGTTACTGGTGCTGATATTGGCAGTTACTGACCAAATGACATTTTCTCCTTGGATGGTTGTCTGACTGGATGTAACATGATGAGTTTTGGATGCTGCATCCAGCAAATGTCTGGGAGGACTCTTAAGACAAGTGGGCAGATGTGAGAAGGACATGAGAAACCAGGCGGAGGAAGATGAGGATTTAGAGAGAGGCTAACATCTTGTTAGGAAAGGTGCTGTCTTCAGCCAAGGTTGTGAATATCCACAGAATAAAGAAAACGGTGCTAGCCACTAAGAGCTTCTTGTATAACTCCATGTCTTTAACTCCATGGAGTGTCTGAAAGGTTGGTGCCCTACCGCTGTGATTTTCCTTGTGATATGATAGAATCATAGACTGGAATCACAGAATAATTTGGATTGGAAGGGACCTTAAAAGATCATCTGGTTCCAAGCCCCCTGCCATGGGCAGGGACACCTTCCACTAGACCAGGTTGCTCAAAGCCCCATCCAACCTGGCCTTGAACACTTCCAGGGATGGGGCATCCACAACCTCTCTGTGCAACCTGTTCCAGTAAATAATTTCTTCCTTACATCTAATCTAATCTACCCTCATTCAGTTTAAAGCCATTACCCCTTGTGCTATCACTACATGCCCTTGAAAAGGTGCCTTTCTGGCTTTCTTGCAAGGCCCCCTTTAGGTACTGGAAGGCTGCTATAAGGTCTCCCTGGAGCCTTCTCTTCTGCAGGCTGAACAACCCCAACTCTCTCAGCCTGTCCTCATAGCGAAGGTGCTCCAGCCCTCTGATCATCTTTGTGGCTCTCCTCTGGACTTGCTCAAGCAGGTCCATGTCCTTCTTACGTTGGGGACCCCACAGCTGAAAACAGTACTCCAGGTGGGGTCTCATGAGAGCAGAGTAGAGGGGGAGAATCACCTCCCTTGACCCGCTGGTCATGCTTCTTTTGATGCAGCCCAGGATATGGCTTTCTGGGCTGCAAGCACACATTGCTGGGTCATGTTGAGCTTTTTGTCAACCAACACCCCCAAGTCCTTCTCAGGGCTGCTCTCCACTCATCACCTAGCCCGTATTTGTGCTTGGGATTGCCCTGACGCATGTGCAGGACCTTGCACTTGGCCTTGTTGCAAACCTCATGAAGTTCACGGGCCCACCTCTCAAGCCTGTCATGGTCTCTCAGGATGGCATCCCTTCCCTCCAGCATGTCGACCGCACCACACAGCTTGGTGTCATTGGCAAACTTGCTGAGGGTGCACTCGATCCCACTGTCCATGTCGCCAGCAAAGGTGTTAAACAAAGATGTTAAACAGATGATGGTGCCAGATGAAGTTGTTCCTGCTTGGCTGCTGCTCGTTTTCATGCTTGTATTTGCTCATGTATGCCCACACAATTGTTCATATTCTTGTGTTTCAAACCCATCCTGGAACTGATCCAGCTTAAAGAAGGGGGAAAGGACCACTTGTTGTTTCAGAGTTGAGGGGTCAGGGGAGCTTGCTTGGTTTCAAAGCCGGATCAGTTCACTGATAGATTTCTAAGAACAGCCTCACAAACAGCTGGGAGAGCTGAGCACTGTAGCATAGGGCAGGAGATGGGGACAAGAAGAATTTCTGTAACCATCGTTGTCTGTGAGCTTCTTGTACTGCAGCTCTAGAAATTACAGCCTGACGGACCAACTCGGTAGTCAGCAGGACAAGGATAGTGATGGGACCAAGGGAGTGACAGTGTGGGGTGAGGAATGAGAATGGAAATATCCCTTACGGTGCCAGAGGAGGGCCAGGGAGGCTTGCGGAGTGCAGGAGAAGAGAATAATTGGAAAGTTTAGGGGGAGCTTTCACAAGGTTGGTGCCTGTTTCTGCTGCTGTGAAGCCCATCACTGCCCACAGAAATCCCTGGGTAGTCATCTGGAAGTCCTTTTTGAGGACAGAAGCAAGTGGTGTTTGGGTACGACCAAAACCCAGACCTAGAACAGTTACCCTCAGCAGAGCTCACTGCTTTGTCCCTGTGCCATCTGATTAACAGTGCAGTCTTTCCATCGCCAGACCACGTTCCCCATATCAGTAAGCTCCAATTAAACTTCTGATACTGTTTCCACAGTATTGTAGCACTTTTGAAAAGAGAGATGCCAAGGTAGCCCTTGCTGGTGTATTTGTATTTGAGGTGTTTGGTGGCTTTTGATCAACCATGGAGTAGCTGGGTTCTGTCTTTCTGGAGATGGCAGGGCATTGTCCTCTAAGAGCTTCCCTGTGCAGTCACAAGGATCTTTTCCTTTCTTGCTCTTTTTCAGCCTGCACAGGAGGTTTGGGTAGCAATGACAGGATGGTGCTGACGATACTCAGCTCTTAGGTGAGGGCAGGCAAACTCAACACATGGGCCACAAGGGCTACATCCTTGGGACCTTGCAAGATACTTCACTGTGTCTCGATTCCCTGGTCACAGGGAAGAGCATTTCCCTCCCTCACCCGTCACTTCTGCCAGCAAAGAGATTTTGAGCATCCCTTTGATGCAGCCCTCGCTGCAGTAATCTGTTCCTTAGTCACCTTTCAGTTGGGTTATTGCAGTTCGTGCTGCATGGGGTCATGTTCAGAAGGTCCTGCAAGGCTCGATGCAGCTTCTTGCTTGCACCACTGCTCCTCATGGTAGGGATTACACCCATGAATTTTCCTACTGCTCTTCTCTGTGTGGTTTTTTTCGGTTGCTGGCTGGTGCCTTGCTGCTTCACCCGTGAAACCCTGCTTGAATTGGGATCCCAGCTGACTCTTCCCATGCTCAGTCTGCGTACTGGGGATGTTTGTGAAGGCTTGTAGGGACAGAAGAAAAGTCACAGTAGGGTGTCTTTCTTGTGGGATTTTCTTTCTCCTTGGTACAGTAGAGCCCATGTTAATTGACTTTCCGAGCATGTTATACACAATGACATTTGAAGAGGAAATGGCTTTTTTTGCTGTCTTGGGAGTTTTTCTGGATTCTCTTAATTTGATATTTGTTGATATACACTTAAAGCTCATGTTCTTTATTATAGGAGGTATTGAAGGTTTCTCAGGCATCCCAATGCTGCTTAATGTAAGGCCCTTTTGCAGCGTCTTGCAGATTGGACAAACTTTATCTCTCATGCTGAATTTTTCTATCCTGATTGTTTCAGTCTGAAAGAAAATACCTGCCAAAACAGCTTAGTAGCTCTTAAGTAGTTAGAAGAAAAAAAGATGGTTTTTGCATTGAAAATTTCTTCGCTCCTTTTCTTTGAAATTTAGCAGATGGCTTTTTTTGTCAGAAATGTGCTTTTTGCCATCCTGGTGAGAATATTCCCAGATCCGGCTGAGCTTATATGCCTTTGGAAAAAAAAAAATTTAAAAAATCACTCTTCCCAAATAACAAAGAACTCTTAACATTTTACTGGTCACATCTCCTCTCTGAGAGTCTGTTGGCACTGGGTAGAGACAAG